GTCTGGATGGATTCGCTCTCGCTTGTCTATCGCCCTCGTGCGTGCGACTAGCTTCTGTCTGCGTGGGGGAGGGAGGGGAGGGTTTGCGGGACTGGGGTGTGCTGATGGGGCGGGGATTGATCCCTCCTCCCCTTGAGCCTGTTTGACTCTGCGTGCTGATGGGACTGTATTTGTATGAGTATCACGGACACACAGACGAGTATTACGGTTAATGACAGTTTCCCCAGTTTACTTTTGTGAATACTAAAAAACAAGTGTATAATATAGTTGATATCATAGATGGATTGAAAGCAGGGAACACATATAAAATTGTCGGGAGCATTTTGTTATTCAAAGACAAATCTTATAATGTATTTAACAATTACGTAGATTTAGTTTTTAATATGAAACAGAAACAAGATGTTGAAAAGGAAAAGCATAGAAGAAAAGACGAAAATACATATAATCCCGCATTAAGACATTGTGCTAAAATTCTTTTAAATTCACTCTATGAAAAAACACTGCAAGGAAGCTATAATGAAGAAGAAAAAGAAGTTCGCACGTTGTCTGATTTAAAAAAACTGCTCAAAAGTCATATATGGATTGACTTTATCAATATGGGGGATTTTTATATATTTATTGGTGAGAAAATCGATTTCGCTAATATTACAAAGATGCCTAATCAATTGGAATGCTTCGTTTTGTCTTACTCACGAATGTATATGAATATGATATTTGATTTAGTTGATGAAGAGCGGTTAAATAAAGATAATCCAGATGTAGAAAAATCAATATCTAATACTCCGTTCTATTCAGATACCGATTGCGTTATTGTTCACGCTTCTTTTCTTGCAAAAGTAGCACATTTACTATATCATCCTTATGATGAAAATAATTTTTGTTCCAAAAGAATTAGGTCAACTTGAAAACGAAATTGGCGACAATGGAAAAATAATTGCTTTTTATGGCTGTGCCAAAAACTGTTACTGCTATATTGTTCTGACAAAAGAAGGTGAAATTTATGCAAAAGTTCGCTCAAAGGGGGCTAACAATGCATACACAAAAGTTCCCTGGTATGCTGAAATAGTGAAAAATGGAAAATCGTATTTAGTACAAGGTGAAAGCTTGAAGAGAATAAGAGAAACGAAGAAAACGTGGAAAGGCGGAAAACCAGCAGGACACTTACATTTTATAAGTACTGAACATAGCAGAACAATTAGTAAAATGGATATACCGGTTGATAAGATCGTTATTCAAGATGGTAACGTAATTTTACCATCAGGAATTGATAAAATGTTCTATATACACGACAATGGTTTTAACCAATGAGAAAAACGACTTACTTAAAAATTATATTATGAATCAGGTTTTAATAGTAGAGACAGGTTGTATAAAGAAGCAAAACAAAGATTGAATACAATCAGCCGAAGCGATGTTAAAGAATTTTTAGATAGACAAAGCATTTACCAACGTATGCATCTATTCAATTCATATATACCTCCTGCTCCGCAATATAACTACGAGGCTGATTTAGTTGATTATTCCAATTTTAGTAGATTCAATGAAGGGTACAAATATATATTGAATGTTATTGATACGTTTACAAAGAAAGTCAGCTGTATAGGACTTAAAACGAAAAACACAAAAGAAATTATACCTGCTTTTGAAAAAGCTTTTAAAGAATTAGGCGTGCCATCGCAATTTCACAGCGATCTCAAAAGTGCTTTTATCAGTAAAGAGTTTGAGATAAAAATATTAAGGAAATACGATATTAAACCACTTTACACTCGTGCTCACGCTCATTCTGTTGAACGCTATAATCGGACACAGAAAACAATGATACAGAAATATTTTGAGATTAACAAGACAAAGAAATGGATAAACGTTTATCGTCAATTTATGAAAGAATATAATAAAACAGAACATTCAACTACTGAAAGAAAACCAGAGGAAATCGATGAAAATAATGAGGCTTCTGTGCTTTGGGTATTATTCGATAAAGCTAAAAAAAATGCCAGAAAACTACATCCATTAAAAATCGGAGACAAAGTCAGATACAGAATTCAAAAAAGCAAATTTGACAAGGGCTATCTTCCAAACTGGTCTGCCAGAATTGAAGAAGTAAAAGAGATACACGGCAGATATTTCTATATTACAAATCAGAGGCAAGCATTTTTACGCAATGACTTGCAATATGTTAGAGGAGGAGAAGCTGAAAGTCAAGAACGAGAAGAGGAGGAAAACACAGAAGAACAACAACCATCATCTGCAAGAGGTCAGCGAAACAAAGTTATCTGACACTGCTGGTTTTATTTATTTGTAACAATAATTTAATTATATATATGACAAAAATTAATGATGATTACCATATAAACTTAATTTATGATTATATGCAAAGGACTATTTTAAAAGAGGACTTTACTGAAACACAACACCCATTTTTTGGCTCGATATGTAATCCAAATGGACACATTTTTGAATTCAAAACTATAAAAGCGTATTTATGTAAGAAATGTGAGCAAAAGAGATTTCGGCAATGCAAAAAATGTAATAATCTTTTAAGCATATATGATTTTAAAGTATTTAGACATTCAAAGTATCCTTGTTTCGTGTTCCTGGATATTTGTGATTCTTGCTACTTAAATCAATGAAAAAATATAGTATGGCAATAAAAATGAATACCGATTGCCCTATTTGTTTTGAACCTCTACCTCGAAAGAAATATACTTTTCCATCGTGTAACCATAAATTTTGCAAAAAATGTATTAATGCCCTAATTAAACACGACGAAAAAGACGATGATAAATACTTTTCTATGATCCATCATCCAAATCTTGAATCGCCAATTACACTTTCCCATAAAGGCTATGGTAAATTTGAATGTCCAATTTGCAAAAACCAATCTTTGACTACCAAAGGAAAAGGATTTATTAAATTATCTATTAATTTTGCCGATAATTTTGCATATAGTATTATTGAAATATCAGACTTGAAGATTTTGAAGAAAAAACACTACAAGCTATATGAACTGTTTGTAGATAAGTTTAATGTAGCAATACTAAAAAATAGAACACTGCATTTCAAAATTGCAGAAGACGAAGAAGTGTTATTTAACTGGTTTGATGGTGTAAATGAAAAGGAAAAAACAAGACATTACATTGTAATTACACCATTATTAACTGATGACCTAATGATAAATTATGATTACTACGAACAAGAACCAATAAGCTTTGTAAATTTTCTTAATGGACGTCTTGATTAAGTATATGAGTATAGCACGTGTGTCTATGATACATTGATGTATGTTGCACGATGCGATGACATACGGCAACCAATGCAATGCACGACGATGCATTAATGTTTGTTGCACAATGCAATGACATACAGCAAGCAATGCGATATACAATAAACAATACGCAGACAAGATTCAATTGATTGAATTCTGAAAATTGATCACCAAGTGTCTTTTTTTTTACGCAGGCAATTGTCTTTAGTTTCGCAAGAATACATATACTACTCAACAACAATACAAACAACAAACGACAGGCAGATGACACATAAAGTTAGACAGTACCATATTCAAAGCCCATACAGATGACGCACAAAATTAGACAGCACAATATTCAAAGCGTGAACAATTAAAATTTGAACACGCAATGAATGAATAACAATACGCAACAACACACATTTCGCACGCACGCAGGTATGCACACAATACAACACAGCTTCCCATCCGCCTCTCTTTACCCTTCCCTGAGGCACACGCACTTCCCTCTCACCCTCTTCATCGTGTGCTAGCCAAGGCCTTCTTCACACCCCTTCTCCACGCCCTTCTCGATCGCCTTCTCAATAGTGAGTTTGAGGAATTCAGCGGACATCTCGCCGATCATGTGGGGGCGAGCCAGCGGTGCTTGGTGGCAACTGCTGGGCTGGTGGTGCGGTGAGTGAATACTGGTTGGTTTCTGTAGCCTCTAACGCATCCTGATGACCACACACACAGAGAGATGAACTATAGACACTATACACTACACACATGTGCTTCTCGCTGTATTCACCTGCATCAGTGTGCCTACCAGTGATGCGGCGATTGATTCGTGGTAGTCGGGAGTGTCCACACACCATCCGTACTCGACACGGGCACGCTTGATGATGGTCAGTTGCTGAAAGCACACACACAACACACGGAACACATCCATAAGCACAAAGTGTTTGCTGTGCTGTGCTTTCTCACCTCGTCAAACGCATCCAACATAGACTTGGCATACACAAAGCCCTTCTTGCCCGTGTGCTTGCTGGGCGTGAAATCCAATACCGACGCAAGCAGGGGGTTGTCGATCGTCGTCTTCCACTTGCATCGGGATGCTCTATCGTGCCGTTTTTGCTCTTGCCTTCGCTGAGGGGTGCGTGAAAGTGCGGACAGAACGTGATGGGCGTAGTTTGACTACCAAGGTCAAGACTGACGGTCTGTTGCCAACCGAGAGGCGGAAATGGCTGACGTTTTGAGCTCATTTCGGCGGAAGACACCAGACGGCACTCTGCGAGCTTGAATCTGAGCTTGCAACGCTTTTCTCTCATCGCATCTATCAATTTCTCGTGTCGGTCGGCTTGTACTCAACGTTGTTTGGTATATTACAGCTTTTCGGAGCTTAATCCTCCCTCTTTTCTCTGTGCAAGCTTCAAGCGTAGCTCGCACCTTCTTTGCTCTCTTTGAACTGAATTCTTGTAGTTTCTCGCCTCACATCTGCCAGTTTCGCTTGTCGGCTGACGCCTGCTCAACGTTCCCTCTCTATAAGTCCGCTTTCCAAGATCTGCCCCGTACTTCGACGCCCGCCGTGATGGCGTGGGCACATAACGCCGTCCTTCCCTTCTTCGTGTTGGTGATGGGAATGAAGGCCAAGCTGGTTATTCACCCCCTCTACCACAGCAAGAAGATCAACTGCAACACCACCAACTTCCCCAACAACGAATGGGAGGCCGAGGTCAAGAACATCATCGTGAAGGCGATGAGGACGGCGTTGGGCGATCTCGCCGAGGAGAGCAACAACAGCAAGGACAAGAAGAAGCGGAAGAGCAACACCGGCATAATGAAGGCACAGAACAAGAGATGCAAAATCGAGGGATGCGAAGAACCGCTGGCATCAGCGGGCAAAGTGTGTTGTGTCTGCAACATAATGGTGTGCATTAAGCATGGCAACAACAAGGAGTGGGACGGCAACAACGTAGTGCAGATGATCCTGGACGTGTGCGATGACCAGGGCTGGTTGTCGAGGGGGGCAAATTCATCTGCCTCAACTACATCGTGCCCAAGTTGGAGGAGGTGAGAAGCCAACAAGGGCAAGGATGAATGCGACAAGGAATGATTACGTGCGTGTATGTGTGTGCTGTCAGGAGTTGAGGATGATTCAGGCCAAAAACGCTGGCACCCACTGTCCGCTGGACAAGTCGATGCAGAACCTGATCGACGAGTATGCACCCGAGTACGCTAATAACGATATGGAGAACTAAACTGATTAGTTGCGGTGGTAGTGTATAGGGGAGAGAGATCGGGAGAGGGTGTCGATTAATCGTTCGCTCTGTACGTGTGCATATCTATCTATCTCTCTGTCTGTGTGCTTGCATGTGTTGATAAATGACGATTGATTGAGAGCTGTGTGCATATGCGAACGAACAAGCGGTCAAAGCTCAAATGAACGATTGATTGATTGCACATTGCTTGTCTACTCATCAGTCAACACACACGCATACAAGCAAGCTCCCCCCCTACGCACAGCTACGCATCACTTACGCAACTACTCACTGCCTGTATGGCAACACGAGTATTGCGTCTGGGTTCTCCTGTCTGCTCTCTTCCTCGTCCACAAATAGAACGCCGACCTTTGCATCAGGCTCATTCTCATGCGCCAAGTTCACCTGAAACAACACGGCATCATCCATCCGACGATATGACATGTGAGAATGCTTACCTCGTGAAACGTCAGCTCTGCGATATTGAACAGATGCCCAGCTCTGTCAATTGATGCTCGCTTGACACGAAATGAAGCCTCATCTCTATCTTCACCTCTCATATGTTGGAGCTCACACGGATGCAGTCGGTAGTACAAACCAAAGGATATGTGGTAACCATACAACTGCCACTGCTTTCCCTCCTCATCACGAAAGGACTGCGGGACACGAACTGGTGGCATAGAAGTTGGCAATCAGCACCAACACATATATCAAGCTCTCATTGGTCAGACGTAGGGTATAGCTCGCAGGGTTTCCGTACGCGAATCGCTTTTTCGCGAGTGAGCTAGGTGTGGAAGTCTTGCATATTCATGCCTCGCATTCAAGCCTGGCTCATCTCTCTAACCCGCTGAAGCTACTCACGTTCTTTCAACAGACCTCTCTCCCGATTATTCGCCTTCTCCGCTTCCCTGCATCGCTCTCGGCACCCTCATCGCCCCTCTGACCCGCATCTTCTCTTCTCTTCTCCCGCTCCTGCCATCCCCCGCCACCGACCGCCCCCCGTGGCTCCGCATCTGCCTGTCTGGCGAGTCATGGCCGAACGCGAGCCTGAACGTGAAGCTGAACCTGAAGTCCGGCACACGAGACACTATTTCAGCGCCGAAGTCAGGGGCGACCCAAGTGTCGACGACCTGGTCCTGTGCACCTTCGAAGACACAAGGACAGATCGAGCGCTAGCTCGTTTCGGCAAGGTCATCTCCATCACCACCAACTCTGCTGGTGATGCGGACGAGGACGTATTCCAGATCGAGATCGATGACGTCATCCGCAACGCAGGCATCCCGCGACGTTGCGTCGCCTGCCTACCGGCCTTTTCGAGGATGAGACGGAGGGCCGTTATACGCGGTCGGGCTGCGAGAGCACGGGATGTGGTAGTTGTGGCGACCAACGCTACTGGTTCGGTCGCTCTGGGACTTAACACAAGCGCTATCGTCAGTAGTGCTGCTGCCCCAGATGATGCGGACCCACACAAACGATGTCACAACCATGGATACATGTGTGGTGTTGTCGAATGCAGGCACGGCAGGAGCTGCGGCAACGACAAGTGGCCTCGCGGCGATTGGACAGGCGACAGGGCTCGCGGCGATTGGACGGGCGATAGGGTTTACGTCCATGTCTGGAGGCGTCATGGCGACCACCTTCGCTTCAGCGATGCTGATGGTCAATGCTATCAGCTCAGGTGTCAGGCGTGCGACTGATGATGACAGGACAGCGAACATCACTTATGTCGGGGGAATAGGCGGGGCAGCTGCAGCTGCTTATGGCGGCGCGACGCTCGTCTCTGCAAGTGAGAAAAGATGATAACGCTACTGGTCGTACGGTCAAAAGCAAGCTGTGCTTGTGTCAAATGTGCACTGCAGGCCCGGCGGGCATCACGTATGGGCTGGCCGCTCTTGGCGGTGGGTCCATTGCATCGAGTGGCGCGGGGATGCTGGCTGGCCTGACTGTTCTCACCAGCGGCACTGTGGCCATTGCAGCAGGCGCTAGTGTTGCCTTCTGGGGGCTGACCGAAGCGGCCATATACCGGATCGAAAGGGACTTGAGGCAAGACATCAGGCGTCTGCAGAGTTTGGGGGTGATCTTCCCAGAGGGCATATGAGCGAAGAGGTCCCTGGTTTTACTGTGCTTTTTCGTGCTCTACTTTTTGCCCGCGTGAGTGTTTGTCGAATGACTCACGCAACTGCACCTCGATTAGTCGGGCGTGTCAGGGTGCATGTATGTGTGGGTGCATGTGTGTGTGCGGTGAGGTTTTTTCTATGTGCCTTTTCGTACTGTACTTTTGCCCGCGTGAGTATTTGTCGAATGACTAACGCAACTGCACCTTAACAAGTCGGGCGTGGCAGGGTGCATGTATGTATTGATGCATGTGTGTGTGTCCGGTAGCGATGTGTGTATCGTGTCTGCCTGCCTGTGTGTAGGGAGGGACGTGTGCGGTGGCGATGTGTATGTCGTGCCTGCTTAATGTGTAACGGAGAGAGGGATGGACTGATGCGTGCGTAGATGGTGTGACGGTGCGTCGTTGGCGTGCCTGCCTGTCTGCCTGCCTGCCTGTCTGTGAGGGTGTGTCATGCAGAGAGGCGGGGACGAACTGATGCGTGTGTTTGTGTGTGCCGTGCATGTCTGCCTCTCTGTATGTCTATCTATCTGATGTGTGTATGTTCACCGACTGACGATGCATGTGGCGATGCGAGGGAGAAGGGACGGACGGGTACTGAGGCGCGACGTGCATGTGTCGCTGCATGTCTACCTGTCTGTATCTCGCGCTTGTGGATGTACATACGTTTCTTGTCTGTGTACATCAATGGGAACAGGATTTGATGGACGATGGTGAATGAATGACTTACATATGTACGTCTGCATACTGACCACAGGGTGTGGTACGCAATGGTGCCAAGCAACATGTAAAACGTGACATATACACTGGCAAGCACGCATTAACTAAGCAAAAAATGAAGCTCGCAGTCTATCCCTTCTTCTTTCTTAATGCGTACTGACCACAGGGTGTGGTACGCAATGGTGCCAAGCAATAGGTAAAACGTGACATATACACTGGGAAGCACGCATTAACTAAGCAAAAAAAGAAGCTCACAGACTATCCCTTCTTCTTTCTTAATCAAACCAAGAAGCACGCAGTCTATTCCTCCTATGCAACGTAAAGGCAAGAACACGAGTAAGTGGACGAACAAACGATTTGTGTCGTCTAGTCAAAGGCGTAAACTTTCATCTTAGACTCGAAAGGCTGGCGACACATTATATACTCACGCCCGTTGAAGTCGTTCACGAAACACTCTGACAGAAAGGATGTTTGCAGGGCAGGAAGAGAATCTCCACTTGACGCGCGTGACAAAGCTTACACATGCTGTATACGTATGACACCCATCTATGCTTCCCCCACGTTGATGATTCTTCGCTCTCGACACCTACCGGTTGTCTATTTCTTCCTCCTTGGCTCGCCGCTCAGCCTCCTTGGCCTGTCGTTCGTCTTCCTTCGCTTGTCGCTCGGCCCTGATGGCTTCCTTCAGCTTTGCCACTTCCCTCTCCAATTCACGCACACGAGTACTCCCGTCAGCGCAAGTGAATAAGCAAGCATTCAATGCATATCAACCCCGTTTCTCCCTTGTGCTCCTCACCCCTGTGCCTGCGCTTTGCCATCCTTCTGTACCAAGCCAGACTTGCCGGAGCATCCTTTGCATGTGTCAGCAGACTTGCCGGAGCATCCTTTGCACGTGTCAGCAGAGGAGATTGTCTTCAGTGAGAAGACAGGAAGTCCATTTGCGCGCCGTTCGATTAAGATCTGTGGACATGCGGAGAGGATGTCCGTCAACTTCTTGTTGCCCTTCAGGTTCATGGCATGGGGTGCCCTTCCCCGTAAGGCGACGCCCATTTGTTCCCCAGGAACAGGCCGTCCTTCTTACCACAAGATTACCAGCGATTCCCCGATGATAGTCCTACAGAGAAAGAGTCCAGAAAAGGAGGCTAATAATATTGCACTTGTCGTGAAAGAAGACACTTCTCGGAGCGGAGTTGTGCCTTCATTCTTACTTCTGGATCTCTTCAAGTTGATCCGTCGAAGAGCTCATGATGTCGGAGTATGCAATTAGAAAGCAGGTCAGAAGACAGCCAGTCTCGTGAGACAGCAGAAGACAGCATCAGAACTGTCTACCGAGCTCGCAAGGAGCGTTTTACGGCAGAGCTCGCACCTGACCCGGCTCGCTTCAAATAACCCTTCTGGGTTTGAAACCCTTAACCATATCAAACCCTCCCATACAAGGGACTTTGGCTCTTGTGTCCTTGTGATGGCCGATGGTGAATGGTTTGGCGTGCTGGATGCGAAGGGGACTGTTTGTCTATCGCCCTCACCCTAATACTGTGGGAGTGCATGATGGTGCGTACGTGTTGGCTGTGTTGTTGGCTTCATCCATCATGATCATGGTATCGCTCTCTACGTCATGACTGACTAAGTTCTGCAGGCCTCGGTCAGCTCCTGAAAGCTGGTCTTCCTCATCACCCTGACCACACGTAAAACGCGGGATATCCGCGGATAGTTTGGAAATGCCCCAATTCGTGAATGGAGATTCGCACCTTGGGACTATTACCTTCAGCAGTGAGTGTATCTCCGTCTCAGTCTGTTCCGCTTTCAATTAAGCAAAGCAACCCTCAAAGAGGGGGGAAACTGTCATTAACCGTAACACTCGTCTGTGTGTCCGTGATACTCATACAAATACAGTCCCATCAGCACGCAGAGTCAAACAGGCTCAAGGGGAGGAGGGATCAATCCCCGCCCCATCAGCACACCCCAGTCCCGCAAACCCTCCCCTCCCTCCCCCACGCAGACAGAAGCTAGTCGCACGCGCGAGGGCGATAGACAAGCGAGAGCGAATCCATCCAGACACATTGTAAGAATAGGTGGGAGAGAGTCGGGGAGAATGGTGAAGAGAGGATCTGCCGGGCGGTCAGTCCCGGATAAAGGATTAAGTTAATGCAACGTAA